ATACTTCTTGATCAGTACAGATGCAACATAGGCCTAACCAAATGGTCAGGATTGGTTGAACTGTGGAAGAGGTGTTCTAGGTGTGCATAAAATACTAGTATCTGACCTTAATGTTCTCCATTTTACATTAATGACATACTCAATCCAGGCATATACAATGCCCCACACATTGATTAATTCATAGCTTTCAGAAATAGTGACACCATGGTAAAAGGTGTGAGGATCTAGTCCTCTACTGCCAACCTCCCTAACTTGGGGTGTGGTGATGTGCTTTGATTAGTCACAAGATGTCTGCCTCATTTTTAACATTAGTTTGGCAACTCGGGAAACAGGACCACAGGATGCAGCAGGATGAACAATACACAGAGCTCTGGATTCCAATCAAAATTCTCCCACTGATGGGCAAAATAATTCTAGGAACTTAGTGTCAAAATTTCTAAAATGAGATCATGAGCAAGAACCTTTTGAAAACTGGAAAGTGTAATAAAAGCACAAAGCAGCCCTTTCATGCACTTAATAGTCAGTTGTGTCTCCTTTGTAACATTCTTAACTGTCTTGGTGGGAGGAATTCAGTCGAGACATAAGAATCCCAAAAGACAAGAAAACGCTTGTTAGATGGTAAGACAATAGAATCTTTGTGTCTAAAATAATATTTGTGTGAAATACAAATATCCGAGTTTGATTAGTACAATGCTATTTCAAAGCTAAATGTAAGAAATCTTAGTGTCATAACTGTGTGCATCCACAGAGTAGGTGTCAGCCACCCCGAGTTGCACATTTTATAAGTAAGTCAGAAGTGGTCCTTCACTCAAAATACCTTCTACCTTAGAATTTTATTTGAGGCCTGACTAAATAAAAATGGGATGTTTTCTTTAAATCTGACTCTCCAATTTATAATTTTACGTACTCTACTTGAGTAGAGACCTGACTCTACACTAGAGAAAAGAAGGAAGTTATCACCTTCACTGCACCAAGATCTTCAGCCAGCCGAAGAACATTTTTATCCTAGAAGCAGGTGTGTATAGATAGTTTCCACCCCCACCCCTCACCTCATTGCAGGAGCTGTGACCTCTTCCAGACACTGCCTGGCAATAAAATTCCATTGTGTGGTACAGAGCAGACAGCTTTTGGAGGGATAGGAAAGCAAGTCACTCAGTTATAATGGCTGGCTTTTTCCTCATTTTCGAGATGGCACATTTTGCATTATTCTATTTATTTCGGAGAGAAGGAAAACTTTGTATTTCAGTGTACATTCTCAGAAGACTATAACACAAGCAAATCCTCCTAAGATTATGACCACTAAGAAAAGCCTGAATTCCACTGCTCCAAAGAGACACTGAATGCAATCAAATGGACTGTGAAGATGCTATCTGATTTGGCTCCTAGGAACTGTCAGAACAGGGAAATTGAGATTGTCTAAATTCTAGCTGGCTGACAGGCAGGCAGGGGATTGTTTCTCCTTTTCTAGGGCAGTCTCGTTTCTTTCATTTCATTGTCCCTGGATCTGGGCTTGGATCCCTCATAGTGAAGTAAGGAGGTTGGGTCTGGCCTGCGCCCTATTGGCCTCTTGTCTGGGGGAAGGTGAAGCCACCCCTACCCTTCAGGTGATGAGCATGCCTGAATCCCTGGAGACACTTGGCAGACACTTGGCTGATAAGTGACCGAACCTGTCAGTCCAGTGCCTGGGACTGGGAGCTTCCTGTGACCCTGCCCCCTGACCTGACCCTATGCAGGGTTGGACTGGCCCAGGCGCCCTACATTTCTGCATTCTTGTCCTGTCTCTAGTCACTCCAGCTCTCCAGCGGAGCTGGATTGGTTTATTGGTTTTTGTTCTTTCTTTCCTCTCTGGCCAGTTTCTTAACTGTGTTAAGTATATTTGTGGGCTGAAGGCCTTTGTAACAATTGGCTGCCTGCAGACCACTAGTGCTCCAATAATGGCGCTAAGATTTAACCTCTCAAAATGTGGCTTCTCCTGTGTTCTTACAATGATAGATGGTAATGGTATTAGGAGGTTGATTAAAATAAGAAAAGAGGGAAGCTCTCCATTCTCACCTCTCACAACCAGGTTGTCAACATATTTGGGAAGCCAATACTTCATTTTGAACATGTGACCTTCCAGTGCACATAACACACATGTACATAGGCACGTGTGCGCGCACACACACACACACACACACACACACACACACACACACACACACACACACATTAGATGAGGTCTCACTCTGTCGCACAGGCTGGTCTTGCTGGTCTCAATCTCCTGGGCTCTAGGGGTCCACCTCTGGCCTCAAAATCCCAAGAGACTGTGGTATTACGTATATTAACCACTATATCCACTTTAATGGTATACAGGGGCTATTTAAAATTCTAGGTACATTTATCAATACACTAATACAACCTAAAAGCAAATGTGATTTATCTTTCTCAGAGTATACAGTCTTTAAGATTTATCTTCATTTGTATTACCATATTAATCTTAAAAATCTGACTTTGAATCGAAGTATAATTACCGAATTTTGCCTCTACCCCAACCCATTGAAACCAAAATCATATGAGCTGGAAAAGAATTGTTTTAATCTCTTTAATACAAATTTTCCTTCATCATATGGGAAAAATCAATTAAGTATAGTGGTAATAGTCCCTTCAGAGAATCAAAGACTGGTTACCTATTTGGCGATAATGGTGCTATTCTTGTGGATTTCACTTGCTTAATTCCTAAACAATAGATATTCATGGTGTAAGGTAAAATATGGGCCAGTTTTGTTTCAAGATATACAATTTGCCTCCCAAAGTAGTAATTGTATAGCAGGAAATGGAAAGTACTCACATTCTTCTATAATCAGGCACTTGTGGACTAGGTATGGAAGAAAGCACTGAATCCATTAGGTAATTTGGTGCTTTCTTTTAAAAAGAGACACCTAAGTCCATAGATGAGGGCAGAATTACTCTCAGTGTTTTCAAGTTGGCCAACCTCATCCCCAGTTCAAGAATGAAAACACACGGACAGAATTGAAATGAATGGTATAAATGTTGCCATTTGTATGTTTACCAGTTTGGAAATGAGTTTGGGCAGCTCAGGGACTGGTAGAATCGACTAGTGGTCACTTGGGTTGTCATGACTGGCTGGGCAGGGGCCAGGAAGCAGCGAGTCCTCTTACAGTGTACCGAATTGGTCCCCTCAAAAGAGTGATTTGGTCCCCAGGCCAGTGTGGTAAAGGGGGCAAACTGAATGCAGTTCACAGCCCTGATGTGGGCCTCAGGTATCCAACCCCTTGCTCCATGCCGCTCATGGCCACTCTGTGTACTGTGTGCTCAAGGCGGTTGAAGGGTCCATGACACCAGCAGGCCTGGCCGCCTGGTCCAGAGCTGGAAAATTAAAATGCAGGATGGAAAGAAATGGCTTCTGGGATTTTCTAGGACTCATCACGGATGCAATGTGGTTGGTCCACACATGCTCTGTCTTGAAATCTGAGGTTAAATGCCTTTTAGTAAGTAGCCTTTACCAATTCTGCCTTTTTATCTTTTGTTTACCAGGCTAAGGCTACAGTTTCTCCTGACTTCTTTTCCTCCTACCTATCTACTTTTTAAATGCCAGTTTTCAGAAACCTAACAACTACATGGGCTGAGACTTGCCTCAGAAACTGACTCTCAAAATGCTGAGAGTGAATGCAAGCAGTGAAATGAAATTAAGTAAGAATAAAAAAAATGGCATCACATTTTCTTTTTGGAGGAGGGGGAGTTATCAGGGCTTGAATTCGAGGCCTCACACTTGTGAAGCTGATGAGAAACCACTGTATCACACGCCGCCCTCTGTGTTTCCTGTGTTCAGATTCCCTCCTTTGAGACAGTCTTGATGATTTTTCTGACCTAGAACAACAATCCTCTCAATCTGAGCCTTCCTCACAACTCTCCTAATCTTAGCCTTCTGAATAGCTTCAGAAGACAGGCAGATACCACTGTATCCCGTGATGGGGCTACAGGGACTTAAGAACTTTTCTTCCTAGGTTGTCCCTGAACCCTGATGCTCTTATTCTCTAAAGTCACTACCATTACATGCATGTACCACTAGCACCCTGCCTGCCTCTTACAAACTCTTACAAACACACATAGCATGAGAACCATTTGCTAGTATTCTCTGTTTGTGCTATACTGACCATTGGCCCTGGGCCATCTTTACCCAGCAGGCTCCCCATTGCACTACCTTTCTACTCTGTGTGCATCTTCTTTGAACAAAAGCCCAAGGCACCATTGGAAAAGCCCGCAGCCAGGAAAGGAAGATCATTCACAGAACGAGTGATATAGTGAGTCTGTGTACCAACTGAAGGAGGGACTCTCTTCCAGAGAATCAAGGACAAACTTTTAAAGAATCATGGCTGTTACAGATCCTGCTAGTTATATAGGCCTGGAAGGCAACACATTTGCTCAAGAATGCATTCCTAGGCTTCACAATACAGTGTGTTTTCTATAGGAAGTAGGGCACATACATTTTAACCCACAAGAGAGACAGTTTATTTAAAGGAATGCCAAGATAAATTATGAAATGTGATTTAAATGATTTCTGCATGCAGTTTTATTGAGTTGGGGATGTGGCTCAGTGGTAGGACATTTAACTAGCATGCACAAGGCTCTGAATTTGACCTTCATTACCATAAAAATTTGTATCTTACACATATTTTCTGTAGTGAACTAAAAATGTATGACAGAACTAAAATAAAATATTATTTTGAAAATATCCTCATTTTTTCAAACAATATGAAGGCAGTTAATTTCAAATCTAAGTTTAATGACTAAAATCTACAATTAGATTTGGTACATACATGTACATAGACCTAAAATGGAAATGATGGTTGGTTGTTCTAGTTACTTTTCATGTAATCTTAAAAATTTGACCATTTGCTGTATACTTTTATGTTTGCTGGCGTGTACGTTCCAGGACATCATAGAGCCAGGCATCAACACGCTTTCCACGTGGTCCTACAGGCCCTGTGGGGACAGCTTACCTTTGACTTTCCCTTGCTGTAACAGGCCTTCTGGGTAGCCTCATCACATCCCCACTCCACAGCCTGCGGGAAACATCAAAGCAGAGCAACTATTAGGGTTTGCATTGAGTAAAAGGGGGAAAAGTAGACAATCCTGGGAACCAAGTCAGCCCACATGGCACATACTGGAATCAATCCTTTGAAATTAAGACAAGATTTACGCTGAATATATGAAGCCCAGTCATCAGGTCACATTTGCGTTTAAAACGTGCTGAACATCTGAGTGCTCGATTCTGCATAATAGTAGTAAGGTGGTTAGGTCTGGTTGTTTTTAGAGAGGCAGGTGATAAGAGCTGGTGTTGCGTTTACTCGAATCACTTGTGGAAAACCACAGCCACAAAAAAAAGATGCTAGCGTTCCTTCAAATCTATGGAGTTTATTGTAGCAAATGCACATTCAACAATAACAGATAACCAAGTGAGGATGACCATGCATATCCTAATAAGTAAGATGCGTATACACAGGACAGCAGAAAAATACATAGCCCATGCAAAGAAAACAATTTTCCCTGAAACCAGAAATCTTCTGTTATTATTCCCAAATATTTAGACCTATGGCTTTTAAGCATCATTTCTCCGGCTTTCAAAATTCAATTTACACTGACCAATTTTATATCTGTATTTTCATACTTCCATTCACCAAAACAAGAATGTGGGATTCATCGAGGTATCAGGTAGTACTTGCTTCACAGGGACAGAAATTTCTAGAACATGCCTTTACTGAGACAAATTGTTTTGCATATTGTGGGCATTGCAGTTGCGTTTACTCTACTATTTCTTCCCTTTTTCCCATGAGTACAGTGTTTCCTGATCACTGTCACCCCTTCCTTGGCTTTTCCTCATCTCCCCCTCCCATCCCTGACCACAGTTACGTAGTTAGCTTTTTACATAGTGTGCATTGGATGCAATGGCTGCGTTCACTCACCCCTCCTCCCTCTAATCCCGTGTTCCCCTACTTTGTACCCCACCAAAAACCGTGTGGTTACTTTCTACTATTCCTTTGGGTATTAGTGGGTGTGTGAATTTTGTAGGATAAAATAGTTTCTCCATTTCTTCATCAGCTACGACAATTACATTCTATCTTACTGCTATGATGGAATTTCTAAGGAATTTGAGAAGTGCATCAATTGGTGGGAATATGTATTAGTGCCACCACTATGGAAACCCGTATGGAGTGTCCTCAAATCACCAAAACCAAATCCTGCTGTACCACACTTGGATATATGCTGGAAGAAATGTTGGTCAGCATTACAACAGAGACACCAGCACAACCACAACAAACCAGCTAGGGAATCAGCCGAGGTTTCCATAAACAGAAAAACGGAATACGAGATTCGGTCTGCTGACACAAATAGAATATGATTCATGAATAAAATTATGTTATTTTCAGGAAAATGGATGTAACTAGAAATCATGTTAACCAACATACACCAGACTTACAAAGACACATAACACAGCTTATCCCATAAACAGATTCTAGAGTTAAGAAGAGGGAACTAACATAAAACAGGGGACTGTAGAGGGGGGAACCTAGGAGTTGGTGATGTGGCCATATGTTTACAGACATTTTGGGCATGTAGGAAAATGTCAAAATAAAAGTCATTAAAATAGAAACTACTCTTTTACACTTATAAGAATTTTTCAAAATTCCCTTACACTTGGACAAACAGTAAAATCAGGCCTAACAAAAAACAATCTTTCAGCTATCGCCAAAGAAAACTGCATAACAGGGATTGTCATAATATGCTACATTATAGATACCTTATCTTACTTATCTTACATTTACTGTAGAGGCTATTAATATTTAACTTTGTTAAATGTGAGTCCTAAAATGTATTTCAGAGTGATGGACATCCTGAATTTAATACAGAAACAACCCTACACGTGTATTCCCTTGTGCAGATGTGGGGACTTTTGTCTGTGTCAACACATGAGAAGGGAAGTTCATAGTCCTTCCAAGAATATTCTCCTGTTCATCAACTGAGTGGCAGCAGTAAAATTAGAGCTCATCAGCCTCTGATGCAAGCAGTGACAGAGACTTCCATCTAGGATAGAAAGAAGAGGCAGGAGCTTGCACAGAATGTTGCATCTAAATCTTGTAAGCAACTGATAGATGTACTAAATGAGATTACTAGATTATGTTAAACTGATTTGATCTCTAACATTTGGTTTGTAAAGTTCTCTTAATTTTTTTTGTCAGTCATGGGGCTTGAACTCGGGGCCTAGATGCTATCCCTGAGCTCTTTTGCTCAAGGCTAGTGCTCTACCACTCGAAACCACAGCACCACTTGTGGTTTTTGAGTAGTTACTTGGAGAGAAGAGGGATTTTTCTGCCTGGGTTGGGTTTGAGCCATGATCCTCAGATCTCAGCCTCCTGAGTAGCTAGGATAACAGGCATGAACCACTGTGCAGGGCTGGATTCTATTTTTTATTTAAATAAAGACATCCATGCCTCCACACACACACAAACATACACCCAAAAGTCTATCTGTCTGTCTGTCTGTCTATCTATCTATCTATCTATCTATCTATCTATCTATCTATCTATCTATCTATCTATCTATCTATCTATCTAAATCTATCTATCTATCTATCTAAATCTATCCACACACATACACACATGTATATACATTTATATGTAAGTGTATATGTGTATATAAATTTTTATATGTACACATACATATATATTTCAGAAAGGGACTTAGTGCTTGTATAATGAAGAGTTTTAGCTAAGGAGGCATTCAAATGGCTCTTTCTGGAATGGTGATGCTATTAAAAGTTAAATATTGCCAGGCACAGGTGGTTCATGCCTGTAGTCCTAGCTACTCAAGAGGTTGAGATCTAAGGATCAAGATTGGAAGCCAGCCACTATAGGAAAGTCCATGAAACTCTGAGCTCCAATCAACCACCAGAAAATGGAAGTGGTTCTGTGGCTCAAAGTGGTAGAGTGCTAGCCCTGAGCACAAAAGTTCAGGGACATTGCCCAGGCCCTGAGTTCAAGCCTCAGGATGGACAAAAACCAAACAACAACAATAACAAAGCTAAATATTAATAGCCTCTACAGTAAATGTAAGAGCTATGAGGAGCAGGGTTTGTCCCAGGATTAAGACGAAGAATATTTATTAAATGCCATCAGAATTGTTTAGCTCCTGGTGCTGCAAGGTAAGCAAACAGCTTCATAAGTCTGCCTACTACTCAAGTGGCCTTCACATTTTCAAGATAAATATTGACCAGGGACTGGAAGGGAAAAGTAATAGAAAAAGGAATGTGAGAGTTTTCATAAATATTTCATTACTTTATTTGGAATACCAAAACATAGCAAATGTTCACACAAGTTTATTAGACCAGTAGAAAATAGAACAAATCTTATAGATTTTTCTCTAGACAGTTATTAAAAGTAGAGAAGTTCCTTTCCAGAGGCATTTTCATTATGGTATCACCAGTGTGCCAATAATATTCAAATCCAGAATTAATTAAAGACCATGATTGCATAGCTTTTCTGTGGGCTCACTTTCTATACTAATAGAAGAATGTAACTGTACTTATAATGTAAGATACCAAGTGGGGACACATTATTAGACACTGCTGAACTATAAATGGAATGCAGAATTGAATTAGAATTGAGTTTCAGATTCATCACATCCTGTTTTGCTTTCGCTCTGTGAACTAGACTTTGTCCACCAGATTACTTGGCAGAAATGAGGAGAATTGGTCTCATGGGAGACAAATGTACATAACAACAAAACTTTCTTCTTGAATCACATATTTCTTAAAGTAATCCACTCTTTTGCTTGGGTTTAGCTTCTTTTAATCTGCTTCTAATTTCCTTTATAGTAGGACATTCATTCTAATCAATGAAAGACCTTTTAGTTAAACCTCCTTCTAGTCTCAGTGAAACCTGTTATTATTATATATATCATTATTTTGGAACAAAACTCTCTATTGATTTGAGAAGCCATCTTTATATGTGTCTTCAAATTCATTACACACACATTTATACCCATCTAAATCTATCTTTATGGCTGTGAAAACAAATGTCAACTCAGCCTTATTTCCTGAAGACTTTAAAAAAATCTGTACTTTTTTATCTTTAGTTTTTATTCTATTGCACAATATGATAGGCGGGAAAAGTAATACTAATTCTCCATTCCATTTGACATTTAGTGTTCTTATTTTTTTAGTCACAGTGCACATACAGGAGTAATTTTAGGGTTACTCGGATATAGAAGGAAGCAATGAAGCATCTGTATGTTGAAAGAGAAGGCTTCTGTTTGTGGCTCATTACACAGGCTCAATAACGCCTGTGCCCTCACAGAACATACAGAAGTCTGCATTATTCCCAGGCACCCATTATCTTTCTCATTTCATAAAGAAACTTTAAGTACCTACCAAGTACCATACACGCTGCTAGATAAAGACCTGCTTACGAAAAACAGGCACATGTGGCACACACTGGTATTTGTCAGATGTCACTTCATAATCAGTGTGAGTTAGCTGCATCAGTCTTTGTGGTGGCAGGTGAAATTTGATTGCACAACAGCACTCATTTTCTGCTTGGATTTACCACACACAGGTTCACCCGGGATCCAGTGATACACTTGAATGTACAGAATCATAGTTGTCAAGCCACGAGAGTGCTACAGTCAGACCTAACAAGAACAGAGAAGGTGACAGAAAATCCCTTCGCAGGTGGCAGAAACACTGGTGATGGAAGGAACCTCCAATCCTTTTGTGAAACACTCAGTTCCCATGGGGTACCCAGAGTGGTTCTGGCATGATAAACGGAGCCGTGATCCCAAGAGGAAATCAGATGCTCTCCCATTCCACAGCAAGAGAAGTTGATCCAACAGGGACCATGCAATGGCAGATACTTCTCATAAAAGTAAAGGGAAGACTATCTAGGCAGATGGGCCACTGCTCTATTAGCAGATGGCTCTACTAATTAGACACTGGCACAAGATAACATTAGAAAACAAGCTTAATTACACAGCACCAAAAATTAACAACCACCTGAGGGCTTTTTTT